ACAATTTTTCCTCTCCCCGAAACTCAGACATAGCCAAATCCACATGCATTCTTCCCGGGTCATTTCTCCCGGCCTTTCTCATGTCCTGCCAATCTCATGTGCAATGCTTGGTTCGCCCCTTAGCCACTTCTCATCTTTTCAAGCTTATACAAGCCGCTTACGCAACCAACTCTCAGTCTGCCAGTTCCAGTTCATACCATGTCACTTGCTCAAGTCCTTTCTGCGCTGGCGTCTTGCTAGACCCCCTTTTCTTAGGCCTATACAAAGTCAATTACAACCTTTTTCTGTTCCGGCCATCTTGACAGGCCCCTTTTTTCCAAGCCCATGCGAAATCGATTACAAGTCTTATTTTCATGCGTATTCATTGGTAGATGGCACACCTTCCCCCCACTCAAAACGCAATGTCCCCATCACGCGACTGGTTCTCACTCGGAGGTACGCAGACCTTTGGCCCACCAACCGCAAGTCAAGGACACAAGCCTGTCCGCTTCACAAAAGGAAGAGGGATCAGTTCCTCCCCAGCGGACGATGCCTCATCCTTCTACTCGGTCCGACCTTTCTTCTCTTACGTGGCGAGCACCAATACCGAGGTTCCTCCCCACGTCTGCCAAGCGGGTTCAATCCAAGCCTGTCAGGGCCTCGTCTAGCCGTAAGAGCGTTCCTCGCGAATCGTTCCTCTCGAGTAATAATTTTCTGGATTCCGGCCTCTTTCTTTCAAGAGAGTTAGGGTTCTCGATCAGTCCGCGAGTGCAGTTATGAAGACCTCGCAATTAGTCCCGAAACGGTTGTAATGTTCCGGCAGGGCAGTGTCAATGCCCCGTGGTGGTGGCGGACTCCACCCTGTGCCTCGCCCGGCCTCTCCCCTTGGACAGTGCCGCCCAACTTAGCGCGGGCAGCCGTGGTCCGACTTAAACGGCCATGCCACCCCTCTATGACCTGGCGTGTGGTTGGGGAGTAGCGGAATAGACTAGATGAGAATGACTTTCCTGCCCATTTGGCTCTCTCGCCCTTTGACGTTTAGGCATTCAACAGGATGCGCAGTTGGAACTCCCCGACTAGAGCTCATTGTCGGAGGTGGTTCCGGACGTCCCGCACCGATCCAAGTGGTAGGTGCCTTAGTCCTTTAACCTTCATCCTCTTGAAGAGGAACAGATCGCGCTGAGACTTTTTCCCCCAAAAGGATAGAGGTCTTGGGGTCGCCGTGCATGCACCGGTATCCCCCACCTGCTGAGGCCAAAGACTAGAAGAAAAGAGAAATTTCATTTCAAGGCTCTTTCCAAGTCCATTTCCAGTTGCCTAGGGTCCCCTGTTTATGTAATGCAATTTCCAATACTCAATCCAATTTCAATACTCAGTCTCATTCCGATGCTCAATCTCAGTCCGGTACTCATTCTCAGTCCAATACTCAATGCAATACCTCTTCCAAGGTTGAGTCCAATATCTCTTCCAATGTCGTTTTCAAGGCTCAACTCTTCCAATGTCTTTTCCAAGGCTCAGCTCGTCCAATGTCTTTTCCAAGGCTCAGCTCTTCCAATGTCATGCATCTCAAGCAGCCATGCAAGGGGACCCCAGTGCCAATTCTAAAGAATGACCCTTGTCAGGGGTCATTCTGAACAACTTGATTAGCGTCGTTCTTTCCATTTCCAAGTCGACCAGCCTAGTTAGGGTCATTCTTATCCATTGCAATCGGACAGCATGGTTAGGACCATCCTTATCCATTTCAATTGGGCCTCCTGATTAGGGTCATCCTTATCCATTTCAATTGAACAGCCTCGTTAGGGCCATCCTTGTCCATTGCAATGTTAGCGCCCGAGGGGGTGGGCCTCGAGGACACGGATCCTATCTCGTCTTGGGGGTTAGAGGGCGGCCATCGTCTTGGGTTTTTACGCATGCTTCTTCCTTTTCCTCATGTCTTTTGTCATTCTTACATCCATCCATACATCCAACTTAGCGTCTAGTACTCAAGTTGAGGCTCGCGGCCCCAAGCAGCACTAGCCCGCCGTTCAACCATTGCAAGGGTATTGTATCATTTGAATGTTTCCCTGCCACTTTTCTGACTTCTCATATGCTTCGCAATGCTCTGGGATTGCCTGGGGTAGGTTGGATTAGGCTCCTAGGGGAGAGGGTGCCTCTCTACGCGTAGGTCCCCTAACCTCTCACAAGGATTCGTGGAGCGACTCATTCAATCATGGATACATAACTCAAAGGAAAGACTTTCGTCATGAATGTTTCTTCCAACGTTCAAGAGTTCACATGCGCTACCCAAGAGCTCATATTTCCCAAACGGATCGAGTACTTATACAAAGTAGCCCTGATCACCCACCCTCTACTAGCTCCCTCAATCCAAAAAGTAGTTTCATTGCAGTCCTTACAAGAAAAAATAAGGAGACAGAGTTCGAATGCAAACACAACATTACAGACTCGTCTTTGTCTAGATCCCCGCTATTTCCCCTTTCTCTTTCCCTTAATCTACCCAACCATCCAGAATTCTATTCTAAGTGCAAAACGCTCATGCCTTTCCCAGAGGAAGCAACCATTCGTACGAAGTAGCGCTGACTACCTAGTGCAAAGTCACTTCGAACTTAGAAGATGCATTCACAAAAAGAGTTCAAATACGAAGTCCAAAATGGCAGCTCTGACTGCCCAATGACCAAACCCTCCCGACTCCTAGCTATTCCTCATTTCGGCTGCTATGCCTCTATCGTCCAGGTGGCCTGCGTTGAGCCTCCCTCCTTGCGCGATCCTCCATTTTCCGCTCCATTTGCCTCTTTATTCCTTGGAACTGGAGGAGTGTCCGTTCTGTGAAGAAGGTTGTTGGGGATAGATCCTCTCCCCTGCCCAGCTTTTCCCTTGCCTTCATAATCCACTGATATCGCAAGATAGTGCCCCATTGATCAAACCAATCGCTGAACTCAGGTCCGAACTCTTCTATCCATTTGTCCTTTTTCTCACCCGGCTGCTCCCCTCTTCCCCGTTCTTCCCTTGTGGGCGTTGTTACCTCATCTTCCTCCTAGTCGCTGGTGAGGTCGATGAACTCCACGGGCACGTCCTCCTCCAACTTTGGCCTTTTCCCCGGGTTCCTCTCTTCCTCACTGTTGGTGTCACTTCCCGATGGGAGGACTATTGACTCCCCTTCCTTTAGTGGCGATGGCCCCCTGGTTCCTTGCTTTCTGCCCCCCCTGTTCACAACTAGGTTGTGATCGAACCCCACATACAACTTCCTTTTCCTGGAGCTTGACTCTCCAGCTTGCCTTGACGACTGTCCCTCTTCCGGCCTGTTAATTGCATTGCTATCATTTTCATTTCCAAACTCCATTGTTTTCTTGCTGTCTTTCTTCTTCTTGCCTGACCCTGTTCATTCACAACAGTCACGGTACCCCTCATACACACGCATTCCCTTCCACTCACATTCGCGGCTTTGGAGGCTTCCCTAGAACTCTTGCTTGCCCCCATATGGTTGGTAGCCCCATTATCCCTTAGAACCCTCAACACATTGTCCCAACATATAGGTGCCCCATGTAGGCAATCCACAACATCACCCCCCCAAAAACTATGGTACATTGTCCCAGCACATAAATACCTCGTGTAGGCAGTCCCCAGCGTTACCCCACAAAAACTATAATACATTGTCCCGTGCTCCCAGGCCCAGTTTCAGTCAGCCCAGGCAGTCTCCCCACGTTCCACAAAAGTCAAGACACACAAACGAACAATCCCTGTGGTCATGATCACTTACACAGGGAGGCGGTCCATAACTTATAGTTAGTTGCCTGCCTTTCGGCTATGGGTTCCCAGTTTCCCTGTCCTGGGTCTCTTGTAGCCACTGTTCCACCGGATCCCTGCTAAAAAATCTGACCAGTCTCTGTCCCAGAAATGACCCTCTTATGCTAGTACCATCGAGATCCTCAAGTTCAAATGTGTTCAGTCCCACCCGCTTAGCGATCCATCTTTTTCCCAGCTGCCCGGACCATGTGCTTTCAAGAGTCGAGTTCCTAACTAGCACCTTTTCCCCCACCTACAGTGGTTCCTTCCGATGTTTTTGACCTGGTCCCATCTTGCTTTATCCCTCATTCGGCTATCCGTCACACGATTGGCTACTTCCTCGAGTGCCTCCTCATTTCAGGCGACCTGCTGACAACGTGTGGTGATTAACTCTTCCGTGCTCAAGTGTGGGTCGTCATCCAGCCTGTTCCAGGTAGGGACCAAAGCTTCTATTTGAAAATCGATCTCCCTTCCATACCAGAGTTCTGCTGGAATACATCCCGTTGTTCTTTTCGGAGTCATGTTCTCTGCGAAGACTGTCTGCTTGAGAAACGGTGGCCAGCTTCCCAAATTGTGTGCTGCCAACTTTGCGATTGTGTTCTTCAGAGTCCAATGACCCTTTTCTACTGGTGCATTTGCCTCAGGATGGTAGGACTCGGTGATCTTGATCGGTACACACAGTGTCTTTAAGCCTGTTCAACACCTCCTGGTTAACGAATTCTGTCCCATTGTCTGCTATAAACCTACGCATGAAGGGGTGCCTTAAGTAGAAATCTTCCCCCCAGTCGGTCACTGCTTTCCCCGTCTTCTTCTTGAGGGCTACGGCTTCTACATAGCCACTGAGATTATCCCTTGCATCCAAGATGTATCTAAACCCATCCGTTGATACGGGCATAACGGCAAGGTCGAGGTGAACAAGGTGTCCGGATCCCAGTACCCGGGTGGGTCTAAGGGGCTCGTAAACTCGTACGGCTCTCCTTTCTTGACATATTAGACACGTTTGAAAATACGTTGTGACCATGCCTGCCATCCCTGGCCAAAAGTACAGGGGCACGATCTTCGCAAGTGTTCCTTTAGAGGACCGGTGACTTCCAACTAGCCCATCATGCATTGCCTGAATTACGTCCAGCTGCCTAAACCTCCCACAAATGATGCGTCTAGGTGTCATCCCTTCCTCTTTCTTGAACAGATGGTCATTTCTTAGGACATACTTTTCTACTTCTTCCCTTGCCTTGGGACTGACTTCCGTGGGTTGTTTGTTCCCTACAAGCAGCAGACCGATTTCTTTGAAGACGCCCTCGTACATCTGTATAAGGAAGAAGTCCTCTTCCTTCTGATCCGTACCCTACTCCTCCCGAGTGAGGTTGACTAGGTACTGACACTCCTTCTATGCCCAGGCTTCGGCCAACGTCGTCACGGCGTCCCGTCCCCCTTCGACGATCGTTGCCATCAGTTTCTCTCTGGTCCCTACTTCTGATCCCCACGAGTCCTTTTCCTCTTTGCGCCTAACCGTGGTGACTATTCCTTCCCTGAGTTCTGCAACCACTGCTGGTGCGCCATTTTCCAAGGTCTCAATCAGCAACTGACCTGTTGTAGTTGCTGGATCTGCCATCTCATTATCCACAACAAGGGTCCCTCCTTCGTATTCCAGGAAGGCGTCAATTGGTTCAGCGTCCTCTACTCCTTCTGGCGTGATACATACCCTGCTCAGCCCATCTGCCATATTTCGAAGCCCTGCAATTCGCTCGACCTTATAGTCGAATCGCCATATGAAGCCTATCCATCTGCCAACGGTCGGATCTATAGGCTTGTAGTTCTTTAGGGCCCCGGCAACGTTGGTGGGATCGATCCTTAGGATAAATCGCCTTTCGAACAGGTATGTCTGGAAGGTCTTAAGACAATGCAGAATCGCTAAGACCTCTTTCTTGAACTGTGAGTACCGCCGTTCTGCCGAATTCAGGGTCCTACTTTCAAATCTGATTGGCCTTTCCTTGCCCTCCTCGCTTCTCTATATCAATAGTCCTCCAACTATCAGCGGTCCCCCATCTGTTTCTAAGATGAAAGGCCGTCCTACCTCGTCATTGAAACAGGGTGCTGCTAGAGTGACCTGATCGAATGACAGGATATCTTTCAGGGTCTGGGCTGCCGCTTCCCTATCCTCGGTCCAATCCATAGTGTCGCCTTCCCTAATCATTGCGCGGATAGGCTCTACTATCTTTGCGAATCCTTTGATGAAGAACCTCCAGAACCCAACCACCCCTAGGAAGGCTCGTACTTCCGTAGTGGTGCACAGGGGTGTCGGCCACTGGAAGATCTTATCCGTCTTTGCTGGGTCGGGTCTCCTCCCATACGCTCCACAGCGAAACCCCAGTATACTTCCGGGACGGCCAGAATGCTCTTGGGTCTGCTTGCGGTAATATTGTAAACAAGGAATCGCTGGAGTAGGTCCTTAATATCTTGTAGGTGGTCCCAGACAAACTTTCGTACGCCCGGCTCGACCTCCGTCTCGTCCTTGTACCTTGCGCCTTTTACGGGATTATCATCTATATACGGTTCACACTTTTCCGGAAACATATCCCCTTCGACGGCGAGCATCCTTCTCTGCGCCTCTTCTACCGTATTTGTAAAACTCATGGGGTCACTTGCATCTGCAGTTGCCCTACGGGGGTGTCCATTGCGGTGTACGGTCTATATCCCTCACATCGAGCAGCAACTGATCGTATCCTGAGTACAAGTCTACCAGGGAGTAAATACTCCGCCCTGCATGAGATTCTGCCAACAAGTCGGCTTGTGGAAGCGAGGCAACGTCCCTAATTGTTATCGCATTGAGCTTCTGCAGGTCATGGATCCACCTGAGCGTCTTATTGGGCTTCCTGAACACGAACCACTTGTTTGCGTAGGGGGATGCAGTGGGTTCAGCCACGAAAGAATCTATCTTAGCTCTAAGCAGGTCGGTGACCTCCGCTGCTATCCCAAACTCATAGGCGGGCCCTTTATCATTCCAACACTCGTGCTGTACGGTGTGGATCCTGACGGGGGGAACTAGCTTTGCGTCCAATTACCCTTTCTTATGATCGTTGAAAGCGAAAACTAAATGAAACTCCTGGTATGCGTTTTTTATCAACTGAGTTTCTTCCGCTATTAGAAACCCTTCCACACCTATTTTCATGGTATCTGCTACCTCATCTGGTATGCGATGCCCTTCCGTTGCCCGTCTCTCCCTTATAACCTGTAGGATCTCCTCCTCTTTTTCCATGACTTCTTCCTTTGATGTTTCTACTAGGATCGAGACCGGCTTGGCCTTCTTTCCTACGGGTTTGTATTTTCACACACTGCCTTCTGGGATCGTTCTCCTAAAAAATGAACGGTCGGGATTGACCTTGCTATTTCCATGATACGGGGTTGAATGCTAACTATCTTCCCATTCAGGCAGAAGCCTTTTCGAACCTCATCCTCAAACTTGGCAAGCGCTGTCGGGTCCACCCCCACTTTGTGGTACCTGATTGCCTTAACAAGTTGCAACAGGTCTGGTATTTCGAGCGCTAGCTTGGGGGTCTTGTTACGGCCTTCCTTTGGCTTGGGCAAGCTGGCCCCAAGTTCAACTTCCTGCTCCTTTTCCGCCACCATAACCCCAGGGGCTCGTCCTCTGGCCTCCTCTTCTTTACGGGCAGACCCATCTTGAATCATTCATTTTTACTAAAAGCCTCCTCGATCATAATTTCTACTTTTTCCCTCATGCCTTCCATTCGTGCGAATGCCCCCTTCTGCGCACTTTCTTCGAATGTTGGAGACCAGGTTGCCAATTTGCACTTCGGAGGGTCCCCTCCGGTCCCAAGAAGTCGGAGGAGTTCTCCGCGGCCGGTCACTGGGTCCTCTATGTCTACCATGTATGTGTCGTCGTGCAAATGCATTCCTATCATTTTCACATTGGCGCACCACGATCTCCCGAGGATTACGTCGTGATCCATTTCTTCCATCACAGTCACCCGCTGAAAGGACCAGATGGATTCCCGGATTCCCGCCCTGACTGCACATTTTGTGACATACCCTGTAAAAGAAATTTCGCCACCGGCTCCCCGGATACTCCCTGCTACTTCCTTGTTTATCGTGCACCCCGTGACCGTTGCGAAATCTCATCGTATGAGGGTGATTTTTGCTCCGCCGTCCACTAACGAGTCAGTGTGGTGAGTTCCGATTTGAACTTTAAGTTTCCCAACTAGTAATGCATGAAAGCTAAGCTTTGTCCCGGGTGGCGCCCTCATGACTTCGCCACCTTCATGATCCGGTAGGCTTAGGCGGATGTCCGCAAAGGCTTTCTCCAAATCTCCCAGGCCCCCTGGAATGCTTTGGAGGTTGGAGACTCCTTGCGGCGCCTCGACCTCTTTCGTGTCCTGCTCTTGCGGTTCCGGGGCCTCCTCTACCTCTACGCGCTTACGCGTTAGCAACTGCCTGAGTCCTTTAAGCAGCCTCGGGCTGGCTTGCAGCATGGTCTGAAAAGACAGCGATACCATGGTACCCAATAGCTTACTCAAGGTGCAATCGATTTCTGACGAAGTCGGGATCGGAATTTGATACCTGAACTTTTTTTTTGCCGCCGTAGCCTTGTCTACCGTTTCGTCCTCCCTTGGCTTCTCATAAACCTTCTCTTTTTTCCCGACTTCGGTCTCTTGCTGGCCCGTGCTATTCCCTGCGAGTTCTTCCATTACTGTATCTTGAATAAGCTTCTTTTCTGCGCCGGTCCGACGAGTGATAATATTTACCCTATCCTGGCCATTGTCTTCTAGGATAAAATTGGCCTGTGGTCCCCGTCCCCTTGGCTGGTCCCAGACAATCTCGGGTATCGGCTCTGCTTCTACGGCCGCTATCTCTAAGTTATTCCGGAGGATGACGGCTCGCCTCATCCCTCCTGGCAAGTTCCAATTGACACGCTCCCCCCTGGGTCCGAGGATCTCGCCTTTGAGGGACCTACTGCACCTCTGCCGCTCGATATCGTGATTGAGTCTCGGACAGGCCCGTACGAAATGCCCGATCATGGTGCAATACTTGCATTGTTCGTTGGTTGGGTCCCTCCTGCCAAACCCCCGGTTTGCTACAGCTGCCGGAACCACGACCTCTTGGGGCGGGAGGGCGGGTCTGGACACTTGCGCCTGCATTACTAACAACGCTTTTTCCGTTCTGTCCATCTTGCTATCAACCCCGTGCACCCGTTCGTGCAGGCTCTTTATCCCCTTCTTGACCTTATCCCCCGTCTTCCCGGTCAGATCTATGACCTCCCCTTCCTTAAGCAGGGCTAGTGTCTCGGTGACCACTGTCTTTTCCGCAAGGTCTGTTACGGTGCTGAAGTCCACATCTCTCGTGTATTCAAACTTACTGGTCTGCTGGTATGCTGATAAAATCTTATCTTTATCAAACTCGAAAAACTGCCTGAGGAAGTATTTACTCATTATGCGGTCCGTTACCCCGGGAATTCGCAGAGCCACTAACGTGAACGCCCTTAGAAAATCGTTGTAAGTCACATAGTTTTTCCTCTGGACTGCGGCTAATTCGGACTCTGTTGCCATTTTTTCTGCCTTCAGGTATTTCCTCATCATCTCATTCCTGGTTTCTTTCCAGGATCCACTAGAGGCGACGATGGCCATAATGTCCCTTCCCAAGCTTAGTGACACGTGCTGCCCTAGGTGCTCCATTTTTTCCTCTTCTGTCCATTTCAGTAAGGCTGCTAGGTTCTCATAGTCTATTAGAAACTTTGCAATGTTGGCCCCATCGAACGTGAGTTTCTTCTTTGCATCTGCGAGATACCCCTGGTTCTTGTTTAGTGTCCTGGTGAGAGTGGCGACTACCCTCTTGAGACCATCTTCGGAGCCACCCGCTTCTCCGGCCGCACTGGTCCCTTCCCCTTCCTTGCTTTCCCTCTGCCTCTCCCTGGTTTTTGGCGTTCCTTATGGGTCGAACCATCCTAGCACTCTTTCCCTAAGGTTCCAGAGTACAAAAAGAACCTTGGCAAGCTAACTACTCATCCCACCCCACTCCTCTTCCCTGTCTATCTATCACTCCAAAATTCCTACTGACCATGGATTGGTGCGCGATGCGGACATCGCGAATGAGTGGGGGGAATATGTCGGAACTGGTGAGTCCCGAATGATTTCCCGTCACTCGAGAGATTGTATGTGACCAATTTGTGCACGGCAGAGAAAACCGGAGGCAGGGATGCTGGATAAATCGGGAGCGTGGGCACGGAGAGTAAGAAGCTCGAGGCTGCCCAGAGTCGCCAGGACCACTAAACTAGAAGGGAAACTGTCTAAACAGTAAGCGGCGAAGGACGGTGAGAGGATAGCAGGGGCGACTCTTTCCCCAAGGACGGAGAAGGGCCGCCGGGAAGTCGGTAGTAGCATAGGAGGTGCGCAACAAGGGAAGGAAGGAAGCAGGAAGGGACAGGGCGCAAGGCGCTGACTTGACACGGCGGCAAGAGGGCCAAGGAAACCGCATGTTAGGTGGGAGCCGGCATCCGGAACGGAATAGCATGAGGGGCACAATAGGAGCGGGGAGAGGAGATCGCTGTAAGGTGGAAGGACGTGAGGAGCACCGAGGAAAGACGTGGTACAGGTGAGGCAGGAATGTCGGGGACCACATGAGATTGAAGGACAGGGCGGTACCGGCAGGACAAAGTGTCGGGGACCACACGGGACCAGGGGACGGCGTGGTGCCGGCAGAGCGAAGCACCGGGAACCGCGTGAGACCAAGGGAAAGACGTAATGCAGGCGGGCCGAAGTGCCAGGGACCGTGTGGGCCTAGATAAAATGGCGGTACCTGCGGAACCACTAGCAGGACGGGTATCGAGGGGATAAAGTGTCGGGAGCCGCCGACGGGGGCTGAAGACCGGAGCCGTCGGCGGAATAAAGGGCGACCGACCCAAGGGGGAGTACACTAGAGTGGGACGTCACCCGGGACGACGCCGGAAAAAGGGGACAGACTAGGGATAATAAGAAGAAAAAAAAAGGAGAAGTCGGGTGCTGACGGAAATTGACGACAGAACGAAGAAGATGGACGTGAGACGGAAAAAACGGAGGGCACCTGGGGCGACCCAAGGGGATCCTGGATCAAATGCAACGACAACAGAAATAAAATGGCATGACGTCAGGTGGACGGGATCATCCGGGCCGAGGAGTCCGGATGAAAACGTTAAGTATCGCCGAGGCAAGCGCCGGCGGGAGGTGCCGACGAGAAAGAAAAGATGGAGTAGCGGTAGTAAGAGGGGCCGGCCAGCGGTCCAGGTTATCCCGGACCAGCCAGGCCAAGAAAAACGAAGTTCCAAGGGCTCCACGTGGAAAGAGGGCTGGCCGGAGAAAATCGGAGCAAGGGGGTCTCAAACTGGAAGCAAAGGAAGCAAAAAGGAGCCCCCTTTGGCCTTAGGGGTGCCACTACTGCAGTCCAAGGTGTAACGACCATATGCCGGTTGCAAAATCAGGTCTTGGGAAAGGTCCAATAGCTAGAAAGAGGAGAAATGGTTGTTGGACACTTGTCCCAACAGTAAATAAAAGCGAAGGGAGGAAAAAGGGGGAGAAAAGGGGGGAGAATGAGACAAAGGAGGAGGAATGAGTGGAGGAAAAAGTGCCGCCAGGTTCGGACTCCAGCAGTAGGGACTGGAAGGTCTCAATGATGACCTCATCCCTCCTAGATCCTAGGAGGGCAGTCTGGATTGCAGAGATAAGGTCCTTGGGGCATTATCCCTGCAAAATCTGAATTTACGCAGCAAAAATAAGGAAAAATGCTGATGTGAGTTGATCGGCTCATTTTTGGGCCTTAGATCTGAGATCTGATCTTGCAGAGGAGGAAAACTAGCCGTTTTTTGTGGGATGACACAAAATGGCTAGCTCCGGAATGGGTTGGCACCAAAATGGAGGAAAACCAAAGAGAGGAACAAGACGAAACTGCGTATTTGGCCCAAGGATTGGGCCAGATACACCAAAAAAATTGAAAATTGAAGTAAAAGGCTCAAATTTGGGCCAAGAGGGACTTGGGGGTAGCTCGGAATGATGAGGACCATGGATCTCATCCAAATCCAAGGCTGAGATTGGAGCCGCCACTTGGAAAAATGCAACGGCCTACCCAAAAGAGGCCTAGAACAAGAAAAAGACGAAAAATTGGTCTTTAGGGCCTCAAAATTCAGTAAAGGCTGCATTTTCAAAAGTGGTACCCTAAAAGGCAGCTCTTTTTGAAGTAAAAAGAGGTTGGGGTAGGCCAAGGGGTAGTCCGAGGAGGTACCAGCCATCCGGACTGCATGTACTTGGCCGAAATGAGGCCCAGGTACCTCCGGATATGCCAAAACTGGAAATTTGGCATTTGGGGGTGCCTCGGCCCACCTAGAGGTACTTGGAGAGGCCTAGGGGTTCGGCAGTGCACCTGTTCCAGTCTACATAAGTTGGAGGTGCAGGGCGCCACTCTCATTTGAGCATGAGAGGTGCCCATGCTTCCCAAATGAGTCTAGGAGAGAGTCCGAGTGGAAGGGAAGCAAGGGAGTGAGAGTCGGAGCTAGCCTGGAGTCTGGCTATGGTGATAGGGCTGAGGGAGGAGGTCTAGAGGCTAGAGAAAGGCAAAGGAGGTGATCCGCCATAGGCCTCAGGCTGTGAGGCAGGAGGAGAGGCTGGAAGGGGTCCCCCTAGCCCTTTTAGAGGGAAGGACTCCACAACCTTAGAGGTAGGAGCCTGCCATAGCTAGAGGAGAGGTGTGAGGGAAGGAGGGGAGAGCTTGGGAGGAGGAAATGCCATACTCAGGAGGCTAGAACCAAGCATTGGGACTCCACTACCTAGAGACCAGCGAGAGGTGAGTGAAAGAGGAGGGAGACCTCCTCCTTTTTCTTCTCTTTCTTCTTCTTCTGCTTCTTCTTCTTCTTCTCCTTCTTCTCTCCTTCTTCTTTCTTCCTCTTCTTCTTCTTTTTTTTTTTTTTTTTCTT